TCATCATTATTTAATAATAATAATAATAATAATAATAATAATAATAATAATAATAATAATAATAACAACAATACTAATACTAATACTACTACTAATAATAATAACAATAATAATAATAATAATAATACAAATTATTATTATTATTATTATTATTATAATTATTATATCTCATCGATCATTTGAAAATATTATTATTGTTATTGCTATTATTGTTATTATTATTATAATACTAATAACAATAATAACAATAATAATAATATTTCCAAATGATCGATGAGAAAATATACAACAAATACAATTTAAAAATATGACGATACTTTTGATAAAGATCATGTCAGGCAATACTTGGAAACTTCATTAGGCCTAGGAGCCATTGCTAGGCCATACGCTACACACGAGATCTGTCGAATCATGTATGTAGCATATGGCCTAGCAATGGCTGGGCCTAAAAAGTTTCCAGGCATTTTACCTAACATTATTTTTATTAAAAAGTATCGTCGTATTTTTGAATTTTATTGGTTGGATAATAGTAGTAATAATAAAACTCCTATAAGTGTTTACGAAATAGCATATACAAATTACAATAATACTATATTTCATTGGTTGATGCAGAAATTTTAAAGCAAAATATGCGTTTGACGTACTGACCTTTTTCACACATAGGTAGAGCGGTGTTATTACAATTAACATAAGTTAGCAAGCCTCTTGGATACATTTCAGTGCAATTTTTATCATTACTGTGAACGTTAGGTACTCTGACAGACAAGTCTAATATTAGTAAACCAAAAAAAAAAAAAAAAAAAAAATACAGCTTAGATGTATTCAGATTTAAAAACTTTTTCCGTTAATTTTTATGATTTTGTTTCAGAAATCAATATCTAATTATTAGTTTATCAATTTACAGAGGTTATAATCTTAAGCAAAACAAAATAAATATTATTCAGAGCTTCATTTCGGTTTATTTATTTGAAGAAGGAATCATTAAAGAGGTATAAAAAACCCAGTCTGTTGGCGATCCCCATTCCTTAATGACTTAGTCGCATACCGGTACTAAATATATTGACTCGGACAGTAGTTATTTCTCTCTATAATTTGACCATATAAGGATATGCAGTGATAATTTTTCGATTTGTTTTATTGTTCATTACACCAGAAGAAATTACGTTCGTGCTTTTTCTAATTAAACTGTTTACAAATAGACGCCGTTAAGAGATGTAGAATTCTGCGAGAGTGATAATTGTTTTCTTCAACAATGATTTAAACTCGAGCCGTCTGCGTAGTGTGTAGATGCTTCAAACAACTATACCAATGAGGGTTTTAGGTAGCTTAGAATTCAACTGGTAGATGATTGAATATGCCTATTCTACAAACATTTATAAGATACTATGTTCGGAGGGTGGAGGAGGGGGTGTAACAATAGCGCAACGGTGTACTGGGGACAGGTTGAAAGAAGGACCGTTGCGTTATTGTTACATCACCACCTCCACCACCAACCTAATCGGACAGATTAGGTTGGGGAAGGGGGAATGTAACAATAGCGCAACGGTGTGTGGGGGACATGAGGAAAGGAGGACCGTAGCTGGGCCAGGGGAGCCGTAACTAGACCAGGAGACGCCAAGGAACAACTATAGTTGCTCTATAGAGCCGGGCTCACGCAATGTAGAGATGATGGGGCTTAATAAATGAATTTCAAAATTTCATAATCCGTAAATTTCCAATCTCATAAAAAATAAAATTTTTTGACATAAGATACAGGTTACGTAGAAGTTAAACATAAAGAACTCGCAACAATTTAATAACGACACTTAAATCCTGTTATTACATAAACCCCCACCCCTGCCCTGCCCTGAATTATACAAGTAATACTGCCTCGTTCAAGATACTAATGTAATGTGAACACGGGTATTATACTGACGTAATTGATGAACTACCTGAACACGTTGTTATAATAATGTAATAAATTGTTAACTTATTCAATCATAGATTGACACTTTCATCGAATTTTTATAAGCATGTCTTATGTACAGGAAATATAGAAGGACAATTCACACATTTCTACTTCTAGTAATGTAAATGTAATTCAAGCTAAAACAAGATTTAGAAATCGATTAATCGCTCTATGAACCTCAATAACCCGGTTTTCCAATATTACCAAACATAAGATATTCATGATAATAGATTTTCACTATCTAATAATTCGCAACTAACTAAACGAACGTGTTACTCTTGCAATCTGTTCATCTACACTATCATTGTCATAATTATGCTTATTTAATGTACATGAAAAAAATCTTTAGATAAATTAATTTTAAAATATGGACATATATATATATTACTTTGATACCCAAACAACCTATCATCATAACGGATCCAAGCGGGTTGCCACATTATTGAGTCCGCATACAACTTCGTTTTTATCCAAGAGTTCTCCTCCGGAGTAGAAATGGCCGCCAGATGTCCACCAAGTGTTTGACAAGTGCTGTTTGCTAATAGATAGTCAGTATGTGTATCTTGAACCAAGTAATAACAGCTCAAAAAATCGGCGTTAAATTCCCATCCGATCGGACAGTCTGTTAAAATACAGATTTGATGTTAACAGATACTAAAGTGTTACATAAAGACATATTAAGGTCCCAAATAATATTGGCATAATATAAACTTTTTTCATTTTAAAGGCCATCACTTTCATGACAAAAAGCTCAACTTCTCAGGTTGTATTAGATTCTCCCTTCAAATCTGTCAAATAATCCATAAACTGTAAAAGCTACATCTACAGAGCTCCTAAAGGGACATAGTTAGAAAAAAAATGTTAAATTATTTCGAGGGAACGAAATAATATTTCGAGATAACGAATTCATTTTGAGGGGGAACGAAATAATATTTCGACGGAACGAAATAATATTTCGAGAGAACGAATTCATTTTGAGGTAACGAAATAATATTTCGAAGGAACGAAATATTCCCTCGAAATATTATTTCGTTCCCTCGAAATATTATTTCGTTCCCTCGAAATATTATTTCTTTCCCTCGAAATATTATTTCGTTCCCTCGAAATATTATTTCGTTCCCTCGAAATATTATTTCGTTCCCTCGAAATAATTATTATTTCGTTCCCTCGAAATAATTATTATTTCGTTCCATCGAAATATTATTTCGTTCCCTCGAAATAGTATTTCGAGGGAAAGAAATAATATTTCGTGCTCACAGTGCCTTCAGCGTCGGCTGATCGTCAAGGGTGGCGCCAGGATTTGCCCGACGGGGGGCCGAAGTCGGTGTTCGATCATTTCGGCCGCCGCTCATTTCGGCCGCCGCGCCAGATGTATGGAACGCCAAAGGGGCCACCGAATACACAACAGCCGCCGATGAGAACGTAGTTATACAACAGCTGGATACGCCATTAAAACAAGAATATTAAATCTATATTTGTTTAAAGATACAGTAAATCATTATTTTTATTCCCGAAACTTAGAAATACCGGTTTGGTGTCCGGCGAGGGATAGTTTCACTGTAGTTAAGATATTATGTTTCTGTTGTTTTTCTCATTTTGTTTTTAATAATTTTTTTCTTTTCTAATTATGCATGGCCTTGCACGGCCTTGATGAAAACACTCATGAGTGATTCAAGTGTCTCCATGTTCAAATAAAGTATATTATTATTATTATTATAGAATGTGTCTTATTAATATAATATATGTATTGTTAATTTTATTGTACATCCTCCGATATGTTTTATGTACAATGTGACAATGTTGATACGTTAGATATATTTTTCTTGCGTGATACAGTAATGAATAAAAATGTGATGTAAAAAAATATGCGGCTGTATAGTATACAACTTTGTTTCGTTACTTCTTGAAATATGTTTAAATTTCTTATTTATTTTCAATGTTGAGAATTTGTAAATAAAATTAGAAAATATTTTACACATGCGCCTTTTGTTGTTTGTACAACTTTGATGACATGAATAATATAGTGCCCCGCCAATAATGATTTCGAATTTCATAATAAAATCAAAGTTCTTTTTTAAAATTTTTATTACACCCGCCGCTGCCTTGAAATCTCCAACTGTATATTTCTTCCTTAGGCCTAGGCCTATATATTATATAAATTTAAAGCATTTAACCATCTCTGATATGTTTTACGTACAACATGATTTTCTAATTAAATACATTTGTTGATTTCGTTTGATGGTTGAGAAGGTGACATGAATAAAAAGGGAAAATATTTACAGTATACAACTTCATTTCGTTTGTTGATATGTTTGAATTTTAGATTTATTTTTCTTTTGCGTGATGACATGTTATTCACGCAAAAATATTTAATGTATAATATATATATATATATATATATATATATATATATATATATCATCACTTGTTGATGTTTGACTTTTTGATTTATTTTTCTTCCGTGATAAAAATGAACAGTAGTCTTAAAATTCGTCTTGTTTCTTGTTTTTTTTTTTTAT